GTAAACACATATTCATACCCTTTTTCTAATGATCTTTCTATGTGTCCTTGTTCTTTATGATAATGTCTAATTACCATTTCCGTCATTAAGTGTCGACTGGGTAAAATTACTGGATGTTTAAAAGCATTTGGGAAATCTGAGTATCTTAGTCGACCTCCAACGCAGAGTAACAAATCAAGCATTATCAATGATAAACCTTTCAGATCATCATGACTTACTACTTTACTGCCGTTTTTAAACTCACTAAGTAATTCTCTATACACTTCTCTCTGAACCATCAATAAGACCTTACACTTGGCAATGTCAAGCTCTTTGACCTTTAAACATCCTAGATGAACGGATCCTTCATAACTCGGTAAACGAAGTACCATCAGGAATTCTACAAACATTCTAAACCAGGTTACAGCTCTGACTGATTTCAACCACTCGGAATAATAAGAGAGAATGGGTGTCATGTTGTACTTTATACTACTCAAGTTAACCACAGCAGTTTTTCTAAACTCAATAGCGTCAGGAGTAGGTTCCGGACAGTCAGTGATTGTTATATAAAATTCGCCATGCAATAAAGTAGGACATTTGAACCAAGATTCAAGATCGGTTATTTTTTGTATACTTCCTCCACATAATAATTCACTTATATGCTTAACGAAACTTTTTGCTTGATCACAAGTGGGAATGGATATCAAGCAATCATCAACATAGAAATTATTCTTGACATCATCTACAACATAACCATCATAACGGTCAGAGAATATTTGGGCCGTCTTATTCAGGGCAAAGTTCGCACGAAATGGCGATGATGTGGCACCAAATGGATGGGATGTCATTTGAAACTCGGATGGTTCCCTCGACATGTCTCCCTCCTGCCACCACAGAAATCTTGAAGCTCCTCTATCAGACTCAGGGACCTTCACTTGCATGAACATTTCTTCGATATCTGCAGGGATTGCAACCGCCTCCTTGAGAAAAATTATTAATATACACATTAACTCAGCGGTGGTATCGGGTTCTTGATAAATCATATCATTTGGAGAAACCCCTGCAAACTGTGCGGCACAATCAAGGATCACTCTAAGTTCTTTTGGTTTTTTCATGTTTAATACCGCATGATGAGGTAAATACCATGGAGGGCGATAATTAGACTGCAAATATATTTCAAAGACCCTCTCCGTATAAGTCTTAGTAAAATTACCTTCAATACTTTTGATATACCTCATGTGCGGAGTGACATTCTTCGACAACATACCCTTCAAACTCGGTAATCTACGGTTTGCTATTTCATAATTATCCACTTTCATATTTGAAATCTTTTTTCCCACGGTATAGAAACTACAAAATGACCTTTGTCGAAGAGCGTGCCCTCTCCCACAATCTTTATGGCCGCCTTGTATTCTACTGATGATTTATCACTTGAATAAACATCTGAAAACTCTACGTCATAAGGCTTACGTATTTCGTTCTATAATGTCTGTATCTTACTGGTATGATTAACAACTCTTTTCCTATATTCCGGATATGATGGCTTATCATTTACGCCGTTGCTTGTCGAATCGGTGTGCAGCAGGGCGTGATGTCTCTTCTCACAACTGTCAACGTTACAGAGTCTTGTCACCTTACATTCATTAAGCTTATGCCCTTGTCTAAGACAGACAAAACAGATATTTATAAATAGCATGGTCGTAGGAACACATACTGCATTTAGTTTTCGCTGTCGAACTATTCCCCTGCTTCGATTGCACGAGGCAGTTCGTCCTTACGTTATGTCCTTTTCTTGAACGATTCGCTAACCATCCAAATCTACTACAAACTAATCTCGCACGCGAAGCGATACACTGAGTGAGTTCGTGAAACATCGGCTCTCTACCATCTTCCGTCAATTTATCCACCCAGTCCGCCCACTGGGCTCGCATAGGTTGGGGCAAGATTCTCACTATTCTTTCCAAAGTAACTAAGGAATTTAGATCAGAGGTATAATTCATCTGTTCCAAGACCATAGCACAGCTTTCCATTTTAAAACCAAGTTTGATAGTTGCTCCCCGTCAGTATAATCAAAATTCGCATCATTGCATAAATCTTCTAACGTTTCTCGAGCGATTACATGAGACTGTCCGAACAAAGGTTTTAGAATTTCCCCTGCTCTCTTATAACCAGAGGATGCTTCCATCATGACACAACCCTCAATATCTGTTTTCGCCTTGCCCTTACAATAGTGCATCAAATAGAGCAAACGTTGGCTATCATCAGTGACTCTAGACGCTACATATGTCTCAAATTGCCTTATAAATATCCAGTACCTACTTGGCTGTCCATCGAAATAACTCAATTCAACCTTTGGTAGTTCCAGACCTACAACAGGCGCTATAGGCAAAACGCTCTTTCCTGATAATTCATGCTTTGCTTCTCTTTTAAACTAAGATTTTTTACGTCATCTGTCATCAAATTAAGACTAGAGTCACTACCATGATAATCAACCCTATTCGAGTCTGAACCATGACACTTAAGGACATCAAAAGGCACTTGCTTGGTAATAGAGGATTCTACATTGGCATCAACGAATTTTGAGCTTGATTTCCTTCGACGATTAGTTAGCATCATACGCGAAACGACCAAATATGTGAGTGATGAGATCAATGCACGTATAGTGAAAGCCAGAGAGGCTTACACCAATCTGGGTCATCTTTGGCGCCTTCGTGATGTCAGTCTGGCTGTAAAAGGTCGAACCTACAACGCTTCGATGAGAGCAGTTTTGCTCTATGCTTGTGAAACCTGGCCTCTCCGAGTTGAGGATGTCAGACGACTTTCTGTGTTCGATCATCGTTGTCTCCGAAGGATTGCTGACACGCAGTGGCAACACCATGTTAGTAATGCAGAGGTTCGGCATCGTGTGTTCGGTCACAGAGATGATAATGCAATTGGTGTTACCATCTTGAAACATCGACTTCGGTGACTTGGACCTGTTCTATGAATGTCCTCCCAGAGAAGTCCATGTCGTGCATTATTTGCCGACTCTGGGACTGGTTGGAAAAAGCGGAGAGGTGGTCAGTATATGACATAGTATCGTGGCATGAAAAAAGCTGCGAAGGATTGGCTTGTGTTGGTCCTTCACGACTCCCTGGTTGGGGTCCGAGAGATGGTGCGACACAGTGGCTGGAGACGTTATCAGATATGGTTCAGGATAGAAGCAAGTGGCGATCATGCTGTAACCGTCTTTTACTTTCTTCGTAAAAAGTGGTTGTACCTTCCTTAACTGAAAGAATCCTCCTGCTTGTACCTTTCCGTTTCCCTCATTATTATTATTACTACACCATCTTACACTAATCTGTGGTCGTTAATGTTCTTTTTTTTCTCATACGCTCCTTACCTTCTTTTTTTCTTCGCATTCTGATTGTTTTGTGTGGCGCATAAATATCTGATGCCCAAATGTACCAATATTTGTGTCCAAAGAAATCCGTCTGAGGATTATTCGACTCTCTAACACAGACTTCAGCCTAGTAAAGTACACTCAGTAAACTATGAATGCAAAATTTATCATCCGGAACAATAGGGATATATATATATTCCGAGTAACGAAAAACATAGGAACATTATTATCACTCTACATCTCTGCATGGCCTCCGCCGTTTTCCGAATGACTATTACCATTTCTAATTTTCTTGTGTCCAATTATCACGTTATGTATGTATATAATTGTCCTACTTCGATCATAACTTTACTGAGCACCAACCATCTCTTGCATTTTTCTTCATTCTAGATCCCTATTCGCTGGGATAATCGCTGAATTACTGAGTACTTCATCAAGCATATTACCACAGTTCCCGCTCGTACTAAAAGTGTTTCCTTCAACCATGAATCTTATAGACTCAAGCCAAATGAGTGGACGCGTATAGCGCAATATTTTAATTCTCTTCGCATCCTATTTTGGTTTACAACTTGTTTGTACACCTAAGTGCATCCACTGAAGATATAATCAGTTCCTTGCATAAATTACCTATTTTAGGGAAAGGTAGTACTCCGCCATGTTTTACCATATTGTTAACTGCTTTTTAATTTGAAAAGATTCTATGCTAATTCACTCTAATTCAAACAAACCATTCTAATCTGATTGACTACATGTAACAGCTGGAAGTTACAAAATAATCTACAGTTATAAAAGTTTTATAGCATGTCTCCTAGTCATTTTCCTACCACAATTATCCGATCGTTTGAACAAGGATAAAACATAGTGGGTTCTAACTAGACTACGATTCAGAAGTTGAGACAATCTTTTGAAAAATGATCAATTGGTAAAGTTTAGCAAACTCAGCATAGTCACGTTTTTAAATCAGCTGTTTGGTCATTTACGAGCAACTAACAACTCCCGCTTTTCCAACAATAGATCAATATTAACAATAACTATTACGCGTTATTCCATCGGTTTGTTGACACTCACTTCGACGTAATTAAAACCGAAGATGTTATTAGATAACGTTACCAATGTTAAAAGTAGAAACTGATAAATTAGATTCAATATTATTTTTAAACCCAACTACGTTGGAAGAGATGAATAAAAACTAAACAAGCTATCAGTATACTAGAAACATCTAAAAAGCAAACTGCTCAGTCAAAACGCATATTTTTACAAAATGAATTTGAATGACACGATAACAATTTGACGACTAAATCATTTCGACTGTAACTGATATCTGTAGGAAAAAACGGCCATTCGATAAAATGAATCGAGTAGAGAAACGAGTGAAGAGATTGTTGAAAAGAATGAGACCAGAGCTTAACATAAGCATGAAAAATGAAATGACCTAGAATTCTGAAATGTTCCTTTAAATTACAACAAAAACCGCCGAGTATGACTTAGAAAGTTGCAGCAAAAAGTATAATATGTAAATTTACAGATATAATGTTCAATGAAAGATCCAAATGACATATCGACCACAACAAGTGAGAACAATTTCGTATATATTAGATTGTGAAACTACACAAAAATTATATATATATATATATATATATATATATATATATATATATATATCAATTGTCAAAGTTACTTTTTGTTGAGGATAGCAAGGACAAATAAGTAGTAAAATGAATGATGAAATACAAGTAGATTATAAAAATGAAGTGAAGACGAACTCATTTGAATATTTTCTTCAAGTGGTAGCTGATCGATGTTGATATTGAATGACCAAAATAATCCAATCACAACGTAACAAATGAACCACCTGAGGGAAAGTTTTGGAACAAAAGACAGTAAATTGAGCAGTTACTAATAAAATATTCAAAACGGTAACATCAAAACAACAAAAGTTGAAAGTAGGGTATTCGTTTTTTATTTTCTGGTTTCATCTATTTTATTACAAGATATGGTATTAATCTACGATGTTTATCGTTGAACTAGGTGGCGATGCCAGGTGCTTGGACCAACTGATTGAGGTTTGTGTAATAACCGACTGTGATCGCTACCTTGATGTGTTGGTCGGGCTTGTCTACCGCGATGATTCAACCGAGCTATAATGGCTGAAACACATGTTTCTTTAGGTTCTACTAACTTAAGCAGGTCGGTTAGAAAATGGTGTAATAAAAAGCAGCAACTTAAGGCCCGAGAACGAAGTCGTACTATGGACTACTGAGGGGTGTGAGAGTAGTAAGGTTTTCTCCTCAGAAAATCGGTCCTGCCTTCTCACAACGCAACGAAGGGGTTAGCAGAGATCGACCCGAAAAATGTTACACCTCACCATAAACCCACGGATTTCCATCTCCAGCGGTAAGGAGAAGCTAGTACATCAAAAACTCTCCACAAAAAAGCCATGATGGGCCGGTCTAAAGCAGTTGTTCCTTAGGCTCTGCGGTCATACTCCTAGATCACTAAGACCACCACAAAACCAACTTTTTATTCAGATCTTTCAGGAAATATCCTTTCACGGTTTATTTAACCGGGAAGTGACAACTACTTACCCACCTCTATCAGCACCCGAGATTATCTTGTAGACGATCGAATTAATAATACTTCCCCACAACTAACCCTTCTCTCATATAGCAAGCAACACGAGCCACCAATGCCAATCGTTCGAGTTCATGAAATGCTATTAATGGTCTCCTAAAACTACGCTATAAACTACATGCTGGAGTGTTCAATAATGAAGCTATCAGATAAGACAACAGACTTCCTTAACCAGGGTACAAGAATCTCGAGCCATCGACCTATGCCGCGTCTCCGATTGGAGCGATGGGTTGAACACTTTAGGGGACATTTCGACTTGCGTTCAGCCAGTCCAGTTAACCAAAAATCCAAGCAACATGAATGGCAAACTGATGTAAATCCTCTAACTCCTAGTGAGGTGGAAAGGGCTACAAGTGATCTAAAGCGATGAAGGGCAGCAGAGACAGATGAACTAATTCCTGAGAAGTTTAGGTAGTGGTTCGGTTTTGGCAGCAGATTAACTGAAACCTTAGCTACAACCTGAGAAGTAGATGTAATCCCATCTGATTGGTCTCGATTGCTGATCGTCCTACTTTATCAATAAATGACAAAACTCCTCTAGTAACAATCACAAAGGAATCAGTTTAAGTAAAATGGTGTCTAAAATATTGGTCTCATGAAGAGCGAACCTGAGAAAACTAAGCTAGTTTCAGACCTGGAAGTGGATGTATGGACTAATATTCACCCTTTGGAAGGTTTCGGAACATAGAGGTGCTTTTCGACGTCGAATTATGGTTGTATTCCTTGACCTTATTAATGAGGCGTTCGACTCCGTTAATCGTGAGGTTCTGTGACAGTGTCTATCATTGAAAGATGTACCAAAAGAGTACACTAAAACTGTGAAGGTTCACTGCTAGAACACTACTAGCCGAGGCACATGTTATGGCGAACCGTCATCAGAATTAGTTACTTTAAGTGGTGTTTGTCACAGTTTTCCGCTTTTCCCTTTTTTATTTAAATCTGTCATAGACATGCTTTTAGAGATAACTTTCATAGTCTGACTTTTCAGGTGTTGATCTCCTACCAGTTGATTTACTTTGTGACGTAGATGATATTGTTCTGTTTGGTGAAGGCTCTGATAAAACACAATCCTTTGACTACCTTAAGTAACAATGCAAACATGTTTGGGATGAGGTTTTCTTCCTCCAAATGAGAAATGTTACTTCTGGATTGACTTGTGTCATCACCTGAATCAGTGATATGAAGTGAAGTACTTGAACCCATCGGTCGCTCCAATTATCTTGAGTCTCATTAGTCCCGATAGTCTGACGAAATCTCAGCACGAATTCAGAAGACTCGACTGGCTTTTGCCAACTTGAGTCACTTGTGGCGTAAGCAAGATATCCGTCCTTCAACCAGAGTTTACTGCGCAGCATTTCACTCCGTTCTACTTTATGAATGTGAAAGATGGCCAATAGGAGGAGAGGATATTCGTACTTTACCAGTATTCGATCACAGGTGGCAACAAAGTATTGCTCATGAATTTCGGGAGCTCCGAATAAACAATGCCTGGGTTAGGAATATAGTACCAGATAAAGATAAGGGTGGTAAATCTTCATCAACTGAGGTAGTTAAGAAATGTGTTACGTGGGGTCAACCACGCTTACCTTGACGAGTGTTGTCTAGTGTGGGAGTAGGTTGGGAGAAATTTGTGGGAAGCAAAACCAACGCATGTTACTATTCGATGAGGTCATTGATTACTGGCCTTAACTATGGTAATAGATGCAAACTACCTGGTTGAAGTACGCGTGATTATCGTCTCGAATGTATCTTAGATGACTAATCTTTATCATTACCACTGATACTGTTACTACCTAAAACATTCTGAGATTTTGCCTGATAAGTTTTATCTCACTGTGCAAATGGAACACGGCAACTCGAACCGATTTACATATGTACCACGTTCTATGTTGAGACTAACTAACTACATTAACAGAAAAAGCCCGTGGTCACTTTTGAAATTTTTTACCTCGATATGATAAAACGGGGAAAAACGAGGCCGAATAATTAAAACAAACCAAACTTACGAAAAACAGAAAAAACACCAGCAGGTGGATCCCAATCTAATTTCTAGCGTAACCGCTTGTTCCCAAACGAGATACAATATTGATGAGACCATAAATTATACGCGAAATAAGTGCTGGACACTTAGAATGATAAGCTACATTCTGAAGTGCTATACGCAGTTCCAAAAATGCGTTACTGTAAAAAAACAATACGTGAAACAACAAAATTTGAACCCGGATAAAATCAAAACAAAACAAAAGTGTAGCCCTTGATATCCTTGAGGCTTCTTTTACATATTTACTTTCGGGTAATGAGAACTTTGAAAAGACTAGTTTATGAAGCCTAGTTATTACCAGACTTCACCAAGACGTCAAACAGCACATATGCAGACTATGAAGTTACGACGATAATGTAAACAGAAAGAAATTTGTCCAGAAACAATCTTATTCAACTTTTCTATTTCATTTTTACTGTCTGGATTACAATGTTTTGCCATCCCTAAGGTGTTTGACAAGACAAACTGTATAATCACTTCACACCAAAAATTAGAAATATAAGAGACGGAGCAAAACACAAGTAACATGCAATGAATACTAGTCTTATTGAGTATTGGTATGTCTGAAGCTTTAACAAGGGTCATTAAATCATTTTGGTAGAAAACAACAAACGACATTGTTAAACAACATATATCAACAGTTGAAAACTTACCGAGTATAAGGATTACGCCTTGAATTATAACGCATTTTCAAGAACGGATAATAAATAAAGGGGAGGACAAAAATTCTAGGTCCAGAAACAGCCATAAATATACAGATTACCATCAACATGATTTCATTTAAGGCTATGATACGTAAGATATTTTGGTCATGTGCTTTCACTTTATCAATTGATTTTTGTACTATTTGATGTATACATGACATATTCGATGAAGCAACTGGAGCATCCAAACCATCACTCGTTCCGCCGCTATTCAGAGAAACAGATGTCTGGAGCATGAACAAATAAGTAAAGTATATTTCTGTGCTTATAATGTGATTTACAAAACCGAGGGATTTTATCAAATGGACTGATTATTTGAGTACCATGTTGAAAGTTTTATTTAAAAATATCTTTACAACTGAGGCTTGAAAAATAAACATTGCAACCAGTGGATGATGGATGTATAGAGCTAATTGTTTCTTCATAGCCCTGATTTTCGATTATGAATTTACGAAACGATAGTGATCGAGAGAGGGGACATTTTACGTAAACAAACAATTTTTATCATTAATTTTTGTGTGTATTTTTCCGTTGTTAGTGTTGTGGACTGGATTTTAATCAGTCGCTTTTGGCATAAGTGCTTCCTGAGAGGATCCCCTTGACAATGTCGTTCAGCAACAAGCAAAAGACACCGCGTTCGATTGTTGGAGTGAATATCAACATTGGGATCCAGATAAATGTGGTCATTTCAAATAGGACGAAAAGCGTGTGCTAGGTTTCAGTGCTAATCATTAGTCACCTATAATTAAACAACTTTTAGTGGAAGATTTCAAAATACCGTCCAGAAGGTAAAGATATTCAAAGACCAAAACAATCTTCCAATAAAAAATCAGAAATCATATGGATAGTGTTATATCAAAGCGAAGATTAAATCACGAGTAACTTCTGAGACATATTAGTTGACTAATATTATCTATACATTCTTATGGTATAACTATTCAATAATTAATGTATATTTATATTCCTGTTATTATAAGCTTTATTTTGACCTATAATTTATTAATGTAGAATTTACTGTTCGTAAGCTATGTTCAGTTTATTGACTACTACCTTCCACGTTCACAGTCACTTTTTGGCTTTATTGTGTACAAATGTTATTTCCTACTTTATGGTGCGTTGCGATCTGTTTGATTGATACATAAACCCAGTATGTCTGAAATTAATGATTCGATTCGCATAGTGAAAGCTGGTATTGTTGTTCTGGACTCAAGTGGACGGGCTAGGCGGATATAGGACCAATAAGGGCGCTAGGCTGCTCATACCGATCGAACGTCATTGGTTTGGCACAGTGCTAAGATTGTATAAGTCGTATTTTGATTGGTGGATAAATCACGTGATAAAAAGCTGGTCAGTCAGTAACAACGTAGAACTTCGTACGTACGTACATCAGTTCGAGTTGCCACACCACATTAGCACAGAGATGCAGTTGTCGATTCAAATCCCGTAGTAGTAGAGGTAATAAGAGTATAAGCAGTAGTCGGGAAGATTAGGGTCTGGAGATGTTATTTAAAGAGTATAATCCAGTGAAATAAATTTGGAAAGAGGAAAAAAGGGACATGAAGAATTCAGAAGATTAGAATTTGGGAGAACACAGAGAGTGGATGCACCTGCGCCATTGCAAACGATTTTGAGCCATGTCATTCAGGGTCTCTAACCATCGGTTGCTATCATCTCGCGGTCCCCAACCAGGTAGTCTACACCTACCAACATGACTCAGTTCACTTGTCAGTGACTTCATGGACTTGTGCCATGTTTTGGTTTGGCCGCCGGACATAAAGTCATAACAGATAGTTCAACAGAATACAGAAATAACAGAAAAAGGGAGTTTTTATTTCTTTTAAAATGTGGCTATTATATTCTGGTGATCAACATCAACTAGCATGAACTCATCTCAGATCTAAGATTATTGTATTTAATGTGATATTGATACACGTATGAATTTAAAAAATAGGATAAAAACAGAACTAATGAATGATAATCTAGTACTACAACAAAGGATTAGAGGTTGTGATGTACGATCACTTATAATTATTCCTATTGTGAAAATAAATTGAGAAAATCCTGAGATGTAAACGATGAAGAATTTTCAAAATAACTTACATTTAAAAGAACCCTCGTGAAGCTGGCCGCATGTAAAAGGGCGAATAAGAAGATCGGCACCAAAGAAACTAAATCAAAAGAGAGAATTTCATGTGTTAAAACTCATGTCAGTTGGCTTAATTACGTTAATTATGGTCCCAGTAGCATGATTCAATTGAAGGCAAAAAAACTTGAAACTGAATGCGAATGAATCTGGGACAGAGAATGACTAGTGTAATAGAACGTTTAACATTCAATGATAGAAACAATTTTTAAAGTCAAATCACTCACTTTCCAAGCATCTACAGAACCCTAAACATGACAGATAGGCAGAAAGGGACAAAAACAGTATGGCACAATATAAATATGAATTATATAAAGCCATACCCAATCGAGATCAAGACAGTAAGGGGGTATCGATGAGAGAAAGAAAATGTAAGAGTAACAATATCAGCAATAGTGAAAGATCAAAACAAGTTGGTCTGATTATCCGTCTAATTTATTTTACTTACTACTAACTGAATCATAGCAAAAGAACTCTCACTAAAATATTCATAGTCTGAAAACTAATTATCAATGACTTCAGATAATACTAATACTCGTGAAATATTCAAACCTCCATCAGACCTGCTAGCATAACAGCACAACTTTACGATTAAATACATGGTTATATTAAACCAAAGAAAGTTGTACTAATTTAAATTTCGAAGAACACGATTCACTCAATACACGCATATACCAAACTGAGACTAAGCAGCATCTTTTATGTGGACTTTTGTTGTCCTACAGAAAATTTTGGATGATAAAATCATACTTGAATCAAAACATGTGAGGTGTAAAAACGTAGTTTAGGACCATATTAAACTGAAAGTGTGGTGTTAGATGGATGGTTCAGCAGTACAATGCAGAAACAGAAAAGCGCTCTTCATAAAATATTTAAGCGACAAGGCAAACAAATATTTATCATAAAGAATACCGCGTCAAAAAAGTGCGTAAATTTAACAGCCTAAAAATGATACCTGTAACTGGTGGTAATACAGCAAACATAATGGAAAACAGCAAGTAATGAGAAGAATCTTCAGAGATTAAGACCTCTAGGACTTCTCGAGAGAAACCTGTATTCAAACTTTTTATTCGTTGATGTAGACGTAGGGCTGAAGTCGCCGCACTTGCTAACAATGCTCTTCGATACCAAACCTCCAGATCTGACGGGTGCAAACGGGAAAAAATTGGCGCAAAGAAAAATACGACACAGCAGAACAGCGTTCCCAAACGAGCAAAGTACATAGCAGTATTGACATAGTCAGACTTTAAACGACTCTGTAAAATATGAAGACATTTTAAGAAAACAATTCTTAAGCTAAAGTGATACAAGCAGAAGCATACAACTTGGTGAAAAGTGCAGAAAACAGTTATTCTCTTACTAGAATGATGCATACATGTCCATTTAACTGACGTAGGATGTCAAGGTGGACTGAATATAGATATTCAAGTTACTTATCGTTTCATGCGACTTGCTATGTGTTTTACAGGTGTGTTGTTCATTACAAGAGTAATAGGCGATTAGCTCGGCAAACTATGTTTCAGTGTTCAATAAAAATTTATATAACCACTCCCAGTTATTATTATTATTAATGGCTTTATTCAATATTATATTTTGGTACAATATACAATTCTCAGCACAAGGTATTTCAACAAGCTTCCTTTACAAAAAAAACAAAGACAAAGACAAAAAAGAAAGGGAAAAAGGTTAAAAAAAATCTGAAACACTGTACAACTTTCGAAATTCAAGACATGTTAAGAATTCAGGTTATTGACTAGGTTAACTCTAGCAACCTGTTCGTCACAGAGTATGTTTGCTAGATAAGGTATTATAGAACTTTTATACTTTTGCTTGCGTGCATGGATTTTAATGTAACTACGTCTTGTTCTACCAGAAGATATACAAGGGGAAAGATAAGTGTGAAGGGGATGGCTAGTATCTGATAAAATAACACCTGCCAGGAGTTTGCCTGACTTGAGATGTCTATCCACAACCATATTAATTATGACCTCGAAAGATTCACCACACACCTTGCTAACTGCCTTTAGTACTCTCCGCAATACAGCAAAGTCTTTTTTCAAAAGTCCGGGAAAGAATAATGGAGAATAATAGGTAATATGCAAGAATTGACAAATTGTAAGAGTAAATGACGAGTAACCCCAAGAGCATGCAGTTTCTTTATGTAGTAAGTCAGACGGAAAACTTTCCTCAATAACAATAAAACGTGAGAAGACCAAGAGATCAGAGGAAAAGGTAACACCAATAAAATTGACCTTCGACACTGTGTTTATCAAAGTCTCCAATGGTACAAGCAATATGAGATCCCAAAGTGGAGTTTAGATGCCGTTCATGCCTAATGCTAAAGTTAACAATCTGACATTTAGACGGATTAAGTATGAGACCATTAACAACAGACCAACAATCGATACGAGACAAAAACTCATTCATTTCTATGGGATGTTAAGAGGCAGGGATAGGCATACATACAGTGAGAACATCCGCATATTTCACAAAAGTGATTACTGTAGAAGATAGCAGATCATGCAGAAAAAGAGAAAAGAGGTGAAAGAACGGCTCCTTGTGGTACACTCTCTGAACACTTTCCTCCAAACACAGTGTACTGTTCCCTTCCAGAGGTAGGATCATAGCCAGTTGGTTATCCGGCTGTCAGTTTTGACGCTGATTAACTTGTTAATTAAACCTTGTCTTGGTATAGAATCGAAAGCAGAAGTATAGTCCAGAAAAGCGCAGCGAACATACTTCTTACCCTTTTCCAAGTTGAACACTATACTGTGATGCAGAACAGCAACGGCATCTAAGGTACTTCTTTTGCATCTGTAAGCAAACTGATACGGGTTAGTGTGCTCTTTTATCGTGGGCTGAAGTGGAAGTATCAATAATTTTTCCATTGTTTTGAGGAAGGGTGAAGTTATTGCAATAGGCCTAAATTTCATATTCTTATCACCAGATACATTTTTGCGTACAGAGATTATCTTCATCTTTCTCCACATTTTCGGTATGAGATTAGATGGGAAGGATCTGTTAAAGATAGCTGTGAACGGATAACATAGGACGTCGTGCTTAAATAACAACTCTGATATCGTTCTTTATACATAATCTTTACTATTATGAACAGACAATACTGCTTTGATAATTTCAATATCGTTGTTATGTGGTGTACGAACATGAGCCGACGTAAGTGTATGCCAGGTTTTACATTCCTTACAACTGACTGACACATTTTCGCATCCTTACACAATCAGTCAGTAACAACGTAGAACTTCGTACGTACGTACATCAGTTCGAGTTGCCACATCACATAAGCACAGAGATGCAATTGTCGATTCAAATCCCGTAGTGCTGTAATCAGAAAAATTAGGGTTTGAGGATGTTATTCAAGGAGTATTATCCAGTGAAATAAATTTCGAAAGTAGGACGGAAAGAACTGCTGCACAGAAAACACGTCTTTTGGTTGATAGACAGATATCTCGCCTAAGCCATAAATGACGCAAGTTAGCAAAAGCTAGTCGAGCCTTCTGTATCCGTGCTGAGATTTCGTCACACACCAAACCACAAGGGCTGATCAGACTTCTAAGATAAATGAAGCGAGAACAAACATTGATGCGTCAATGTTTGTTCTTGTAGGGAACCAATTGCATGAAATAAATGAAGCGGTCGACACACTCAACTACTTCACTCTCGATCATTAGTTTGGGTGTCGATGCAACCCAATCCTGAAGCAATATTTTGCATTTCGAGGGGGAGAATCGCATCCCGAACATGCTTACATTGTTGCTTAGAGTGGTCAGAAGACTCTGCATTTTGTCAGCGTCTTCACCAAATAAAACTATGTCATCAGCATATTCTAAGTCAACAAGTGAACCTCCCGGTAGAAGTTCAACCCCTGGAAATCTAGACGAGGAAAGTGTTATCTCTAAAAGTACGTCAATGACAAAGTTGAACAAGAATGGAGAGAGTGAACAGCCCTGACGAACAACACTTGAGGTAATCAATTCTGACAGTTCGCCATAAGCTCTCACTCTACCAGTTGTGTTCGAGTAGAGAGCCTTTATAAGGTTAATGTACTTCTTTGGTACTCCTTTCAGTGACAAACACTGCCATAGAACCTCACGATCAGCAGAGTCGAATGCCGCCTTAAGGTCCAGAAATACTACGATTGTGGGGCGTCTGAATGTGCGTCTGTGTTCTAGAACCTGACGTAGTGTGAATATCTGATCTATACAACCACGTCCAGGTCGAAAACCGGCCTGGTTTTCTCTAGTCTGCTCTTCACGAGCTTTAGTAAGGCGTCGAAGTATTATTGAGGCTAATATATTAGACACTTTATTAGCCAAACTGATCCCTCTGTGATTGTCACAAGAGGACTTTTGTCCTTTCTTAAAAACTGGCACAATCAGTGATTGAGACCAGTCAGATGGGATTACGTCCAGTTCCCAAATTCTACCTAAGACCTCGGTTAATCTTACTGCTAATACTGAACCACCATCCTTAAAAATCTCAGGAGTAAACCTGTCAGGGCCTGCTGCTCTCCCTCGCTTCAGATTTCCTATGGCTTTTTCCACTTCGTAAAGAGACGGAGGACCTACATTAACTTACCATTCAGGTTGAATGGAGATCGTGGGAAACCGAAGTGTGGCTGAAGGTCAGTTGAACTGATCCCTAAAGTGTTCTGCCCATCGATCCAATCTCCTGGATTGAGAATGTATAATATGTCCATCTTTCTCTGAGATTGTTTCGCTAACAGTTGGTTTCCTAATACCGGTTTCCTTAACAAGTCTAAACAGTTGTCTGCTATTACCTATTACCGCTGCCTTTTCCATCTTATCTGAGCTCCAGTCAGTGGAAGAATGGGCATAGACGACGAAGAGGCAACGACAAGTGTCCCTATCTTTCCGAGTCCTTACTGTTCCGTTTATTCGGAGAGCGCGCAAACGACTGTCTACTGTGATCCAGTCTAAGAGAGTTAGTTCTGCCCTAGGACTCGATGCCATATCTACACCAGCGAGGCCACGGGAAGCAACATCAGGACTTCCAGGTACACGAAGTGTGAATCGAGTTGGTTCTTTATTTTGACATGGTGAGGTCAAACGAATGACGCTACTCGGATCCTCTATGCACAGATGCATCTGTTTCTCTGTTATAATTATCAGTGCAAAGAGTAGTCCTTATTCTCAAACTAATGAAGAAATAAAAGTCGCATACATACTACACTTAAAAGGAAATTTTTCGGCTCAGAAATAAAGTGAGAGATTAATGGGTGGACGGTAGGCTACGTTGAATAACATGATTCGGAACTGTTTACAACGATGCACGTGCATCCATTCCTCATTTTGCTCCACATTTACGATATCAAATCTCTATCACCGATAACACCTCTTCTATTTGGGTTTTAGCCTGGAAATCCTTACCTTGCTGTGCTGATTAGGTACAGCAGCTTGGGCCGACGTACGTGAGCACCAGGTTTTACGATGTGACAATTGTCACAGTTTAAACTGGAAATCAGCATATGACCAACCATAAACGTTTGCTGAACAGATATCATAATACATCACAATATCAGGTCAACAGGATGGGACGTGACTCAAGAGGACAAATGAGACTAAGTAATAATAAGTATGGATTGATAAAATCCAGTGACCGAAAACAATTGAAACGATTTTTATAAGAATTACTTAAGAGGTCATAAGCAAACGATTCCTACGCAGGACAGAAAACGACGAAAAAACAGCAATAAAAGAGGATAATATTACTGTGGATGACAGGAAAGTTAATCCATGCGTTTAGCTACATATCTTTTAGAACACCGTAGTTGTTGCGCCATAAATACGGACACGATTCATACATAATACTATTACAGTACGCAACACACAACTCATAAAAGATTTTGTACGTCTGAACATTAAATTGTGCTTCAAAAACTTACAAATAAAGTATTTTGTTGTCGAACACCACCAGAAACCTCACTACTATTTGGCATTTCAATCCCCCCCCCCACGTATGTTTTAACGAAAAGCCGCGCCAACAAGCTTAGGAATATGTGAAATTCACAATTTGACAAAAAAAGAAACAAATGGGTCTCTGACTCGGTAACCTCGGAAGATCCAGTGTCTGACATACTCGTGAGCCACAGTTGTGAAGCTACTTTTCAGATGTTATTCCTTTTTCTGGTATGTTTCTATGAGTGTCCAGTCTTCTCTTCAATAAGTCAATTGAAAGTGCGGACACCACCGCTTCGGGTAACAGGTCCAAAAATTGGTGAATCGGTGTGAAAACCTGTATGCCACGGATATTTTGTTCGTTCTTGACTTTTCTACTGGCCTGCTATGTCCTCTGAGATGTCCCGATCTAATGAGATGAAATAGAATACATTGGGTCCAAAATCATTTCTCATTATTCTATGCATAAAAACCAGATCATCTCTTAGTCTGCGATACAACAGAGTAAAGGGGTCTAGCTTTTCAATCCACTCTTTGTATGGTAAACCCCGGAGCTCTGGAATTGCACGGGTAGCTGCCCTTTGTACATTTGCCAGGATATCCGAGTAACTGATGAGTCTACTTATCGGGGTTTTTAGATTTGTTTCTACCAGATATGAGTTATCTTAGTGACTCACATGTTTTTGATCAAATTTCTTACAAAAATGAGGAAAATATGTCGGGCGTATCAAATGACGATCAGGAACTCAGTGACAATTTAGATAGATGCTGGTTATTCTAATGATCCATTATCTACTAATGGGATTTTCAAGAAATTTGATAAAAATGTTTCAGAAGAATCAAACCTTAATAACCTCATATCATGTGTCGTTTATCCTCACTATCTAGTCAGTCCTAGTAGACTCTCTGTTCAATGCGGGAAATGTATTTTAACTAAAGTTACACTAACTGTAACTTGGGAATATGAAGACCCAACATTATTTCGGTAGGGGAAAATTTAAAGTCAGGATCTAAACTTCTAGTCTTCAAAGAAAGAAGGGGAGGTTATATGATGAGAAGAAAAATCAAAATTAGATTGATTTACTTATTATGATTTCTATTCAACTTTCCGTTTTCATTCAATGTGATGATTATTCAGTGAAGTATTTTTGCTTCCACGTATGTGTGTGTGTACAATCAATATATAAATGGGTGTATTTTTGACTAGGGTCGTTGTCGTCATCGCGTTTTGGGAGTTAATAAATCTTCACTTATACCAGTCTTTCCGCTCTTACTTCCGCGTCGTGGGAATTGCAGAGGTCCCTCCTTTCGAGCATAAGTGATAAAGGTTCCCGACACAATAATCAGCGCCGATCAGATATAACAGGTAGCGTTCAGTCCTACAAGACTTATCAGGTTGTGAAAACTGTGGTGAACATGGTATTATCTAGCTTGGTGAATGTCCGTCTTAAAGCCCAGAGGGTTTTAAACCCCTTAGCTGCAACCGGCAGTGGGCCATGGTCTTATTATCATGGCTCTTTGTCAACCCAAGATCCTCGTGACACCAAACCACGATTAAAGGCACTTCCCCTATGCTGTACCTACTAACCTTTGTGTCCCCAAAGTGCATGTAGACACTTTACCGCATTGATAAGCATCAGCCACTCTTTAGACCAGTTGATCACATTATTTAAGTCTGTCTGAAGTGCGCATGCATCTGCATCTCCCGTTATTTCCCGCCTGACTTTTACATCGCCAGCGTATAATAACATTGGGGCCTATACTAGACAACAACCACTGAGCTTCCGTTGTCTAACGCCTTTATCCAATACTCCATCGCTATAAGGAGCTTTGCTGTGCAAAATGAACCCTTTCTGAAAACATGCTGTTTACTGCTTAATAAACTATTGGTTTTTAGAAATGTGATTATGGTCATTTTGACTGTTCTATCCAGTATTTTAACTACGACACTGGTGAGCCTGCTGACAGGTCTGTAGTTCGATGGAAGTTGGCTTGATCCTGTTTTATATATTTGAGTGATGATTGCATCCTTCTAGTCCATAGGTAACACACCTTGTCCAAGCGACATATTGAATATCACAGTCAGTGGGACTGGGATATATTGTGCAATATGTCTCAGGATTTTTAGGTGTAGTTCATTCGGTTCTGTCGACGTTTCCGTGTCTAAGGTGCTAAGAGCCTTATGTACATCGTCTCAACCAAAGTCCACGATGAGCCGACGGTTTGTCGAATTTGTATTCGGGTCTAGTTCTTCGTCTAAAAGAGGATTCTGAGTGAAAACTGCCAAAAAATAGTTTGCCACAGCCTCTGTTTTTTTCCTGATCTTCCTCCATCATTTCAGATTCACTCCCTTCTTTAATTAGGTTGTAAATCCATTGCCGCATCCGTGTTTTGTGATTTGCATACGAGAACAGTCTCTTAAGCTGATGGAGTGCATACTGTGCTAACTGCATTTCACATTTTCTTTGAGCTTCCCGGATTCTAACCATACACTTGTTCCTTACTGACCTGCACCATTTCACGGTACTTGTTGTGTCAAGGCTGATGGCAGAGTTTCAAAATTTCTTCTTTTGTCTTAGTAAACGTCAAATATCTCGGCCGTGCTTCTTCTTTGGGACGGTCCAGGGTATGTACGTTTGAGGTACCCGATTGTATAACTTCCAGAAACGAGTCTATGCCTCTTCAACCGGTGCCTCTGAGTCAATTTCTCAGTTGTTAGCCAATGTTGCAATTTATCGCCTCCATGTCTCCATTCCCTATCACAGTACAAACCGGCGAAACTGTTTGACAGGCCATCTCAGCCATGAATTTCAATAAGATGACTGCATGATCGCTTCTCCCCAGAGCTGATAGGGAAGTCATTTGATGTACTTCATCAACGTGTGTGAAGACTACGTCCAAGAGAGACGAGAAGCTTTGTAAGTCAAATCTGGTGTGATCTCTAAAGTGCTGTAGTAAAGCTAGTGTAATTGAACTTTCAAACACTTTGCAATCAAATGACGTTGTCTATCACCCTACTTCTAAGTTTACCCAGTTTATATACAGTGCGTTGAAGTTGCCTACTGTAAGGCTTTTACCCTATTACATCAGGACTAACGTTTGCTTAGGAGGAAGTCATCTACTACACATTCTGGACTGCGATATACTACAACTAATTCAATATCATACCGTTTATATTTCAGCCTGCAACGCACCAGTTTACATGTCTCTGAATCATGTACCACTGTTTCAATTGCTCGTATGGTTAAGGAACTTTTCGTGTACAAGATAGCCCCGCACCACTACGGTTTATTGTATCAGTCCGATTGGATAAAAAACCAGTCAATTGAGTGTCATAATAAAACACTTCTGACGAGAACCATATTTCTGAGACAGCAACAACATCCGGTTTTTCTATATATCCATCACTGTCTTGAGGTCCGCCATTTTATTTAGAAGGCTGCGGGCATTTGTGTAGCACACCTTTAATTTTATTGAGAACTTTCCATTACCACCCAGAGTGGTTTGGAGATCGTTTTGTTTCGAACCTTTACAATTTGAAAACTCTTAAGAACGAAGTTTCTCTCACCATTTCGATGGCGCTCATTTATTTTTATTTATGCCGCTCGTCTCTTAATATGGTCAACCAGGTTGAGATCCTCACGGACAAATAATCCTGATCCAATCAGTTTGCGCGAGTTTCCCAGTATCGGTTTTCGTTCTCCAACTGTAGGAAGTGTAACCTTCAAGAGGCGGCTTCTCTGATTACTTTCAGCATCCACATTTTGTCCTATTCTATAAGGCATACAGATGCTAACTCGTGAAACTGTTTCTGAGTGTAGCTTACTTATCAAGGATTTAATGTGACTGGGATCGTGCTCAAATCTGGCATTTCGTTCCTTCTCGGACGGTTTTCTTGACTTATGAAAAATGACTGACCTCTCATAGAGGTCCGTCTTAACAGGCTGTGCAATGTTATTTCCTGAAATCGTTTATTCCCTTCAGTCCGATCTCAATTTAGCGTCAAACAGTGAGGTTTAATTTGTTTTCTTACTTTTCTTTTTCTAGGTGTGACTGTGAGCCACACATTAACCTTATGTTATCTCTTGACCACATCTTCTTTCCCGCTTAGACTTGGTTCCCCCATAGAGCTTTTGCGTCGATATGTGAATCCGGATCTGAAACCGTAGATACATATACCCTAGTAATGTCTATAGGTAGTTTTCTCAGAGCACTTTTCCTTATTTCTTATGACAATGCCCGCATCCCTATGCTTGTTATCTGCTTCCCTAATGGGGTCCACCTATATGGTCTCATTCAAATCCACAGCTGAGCTCATGATAACTCTCTCTATTTCCTTGAAAGCGGAATTCTGCTCATCAACTTCTGCCTGTGTTATCTGGGGGCGATTTTCTAGCTGTTTTCGGCAGTTCACTCGCCTCTAGAATCAGGAGAGACTTTGTAGAACAGCCAACGTGATAATTGCTTACAGCACCTTTTATATGCAGTCGGTGTGAGTCCGGTGCACAGCTTGTGATACTACTTATTGCGGCTGTCACATTGCATCCCATCATCTAAAGGGAAATAGCATGCAGTTTCATTTAAAACCGAAATACCTCCTTTAATTAAAAATATTAAATGATTATTGAAATCATAAACACAAGTGATTAGTGTGCAAGCTTCACATTTTATATGCTTAACTGGACTACTTTACATACACGACTTAGTTAAAGGCTTAAAATGTACAATTGGTTTGCAGTAGTAAGTAAATCCCCAAAATAAATCAGGAGTCGGCACACCGTGATCCACATCTACAACCACTAGCCTATACTAATATTCTACCAATTATATACTCGGACCCCCTCGCTTCTGACGTCTACTTTCACTGGGTTGGCGCGTTTTGATTATGATAGGTGTTACTGGTTAAGTCGTTGTCAAACTCCAAATACTTTTGGAATCTTTAGGTATTTTAGAAATAAGCCTGATGCTCGCTTGGTATTGCTTTGCTTGTATCTCACAATTGAGATTTAAGACTGCAGTTGATCAGTCTGTTATTGGCGTATGTGCATACTGTACGGACTGCCTCGATATTGCCTTAATTCACAGGCTTTATAAGCAAAGACGGATAGTGGCTACTAGTGAAAATCAAGGCGCGCGTTTCGTCCTATTTGGGGCTCGCTAGCTGGATGTACCTGCATCTCAGAGTTTATGTTCACTCTGCGACTCGAAGTGAGTCCTAATAGCCGCTTGCTCGGACTCAGTGGCTGAGTGGACAACGCGATGGCG